TTTTGTTTTCTTTGTGCAAAAAAGTATTCTCGTAGCTTCGTAACTTTACAGTTGAACCACTGATGTCACACGGACTACTTTGTCGATCAACAAACCATACATCAATGGAAAGCTAATTTATTCAGCTTTCAGAAGATGTATAAATCCCAATTTTAAAAAAAATGACCCTTATGACTGGTTTTGTGGTCCAGGGTCACATATATATTATAAAAATATAAAAGACACTACATTCATAGTGCAATGACCTCAGTATTTCCCTAGTCTTCCTCTGCAGTTCCATCAGTATCAACATGCTCTTTGTATAGCAGCTTGAGCTACGGTTCTTCTTCTGACTGATCTTCTTCACTCGTCCTCTTCCAGTGATCCCTGCGCCTTCATGCCTGCTTTGGCAACCTTTCCGTCACCTTCATCTTCCTCATCATCAGAGCTGTCGGCCCAGCGGCCTACCCGTCTCACACCCTCGTCCACCACTGGAGCATTAACGCAAGGATTGTGGTTGTAGATGACAAGCTTCAAGCCTCTCAAGTAGGCAAGCAACAGAAACTGGCGAATACGATTACGGTCCACATCGATCACCTCCAAGTAATGCATCTTCAGCAGCACAGGGGGGAAATCACTTAGCAAGTTCCCCGCTAACCAGATGCTGCGTAGCTCCTCCAGTCGCTCGAGCTCAGCCGGTAACCTACGTAGCTGATTGTATCCCAAATGCAGGGTCTTGATGTTGGGAAGCTCACATATTACTCGAGGAAACTTGGTGAAGCAGTTGGTCTCCAGCCACAACGGTTTAAGCTCGGTGAGATGCCGCAGTTCTTTCGGCAGTCTGTACAGTCGGTTATTACCGAGGTAGAGGATGTTTAGCTGAACGAGGCTGCATATGACCAGAGGAAGCTCCTCGAAACAATTGAAGTCCAAGGCTAGAAGCTGGAGCTTCTGCAGGTTTCGCAGTTCTGGCGGCAGGTTGCTCAGGTGGTTGTCGCTCAGGTAGAGTTTGACTAGTTCATCGAAGGCAGAAGCTCTGACGGGAAGGCGACGTAACTGCCGGCTACTCAGGTCTAGAGTACGATCAAGGGGCATCTCCTTCAAGTCGCATACTAAGAAACGTTGACATCTCTCGGAGAGCACGAAGGCGACAGCACCTCGCACTACATTTCCCATCTTCTCGGTCCACATTCATGGTCTCTTCAGAAAGAAAATAAGGGTTCATAAAATAATGGTACACTCTTAAAAACAAAGGCTCCAACAGGAGGTTTTCACAGCAATCCCACTGAAAAACCATTTTTGATTCTCCAAAGAACCTTTCAGTGACCACTTCTTAATAGAACCTTTTTTGCTTATTGTGAAGTTCATAAAAATCTAAAGAACTTTTTTCCACTATAAAGAACCTTTTGTGGAATGGAAAGATTCCACGGATATTGAAGGTTCTTCATGGAACCATAAATGCCAATAAAGAACCCTTATTTTTAAGAGTGTAGACCAGTCTTATGAATGGCACAATGAAAAGACAAGATAAAAACTTGAATGTTCCTTTCGGCTTACCAGGTTGCAGAAAACGTAGATCTTCATTTAGCATCAAGCTTTTCTGACACAAGGAATGAGACGATGGGCAGCAGTGTGGTTTTTCATGCTCCTGTGTTCTGCTGACACCTCTGCCCTGCCAGACGCAGACAGCACCAGAGATGACATTCCGCACGCTCCTCCCTATTCCGGCTAAATGATTTCTTCCAGCGCTGGAAGGTGGAGCTGGCCGGGAGCTGTGATAAGACTAAAGTTGTCATGTGATTAAGGAATTTGAGGGTCATCTGAGACCTTCTATTTAAGCACTTATCTCAGTCAGGACCCTCTGCATAACAGAGACCATTTGAGTGCACCACCCCAAAGACAAGACTTGCCCAGTTATGGATAACCAACAGAGGCTGTCGATATCACATGGCATACCACAGTATTTGGATTTAGGATGTTTAAGAGTAGGGATGGGAAATAAAAAATATAATATAAATATAAAAATATTAGAATATATACAATTTCAGAATTATATATATATATATATATGTATATTATTTAGAGTGAAAATAAAAATATGTTTCTATTATAATATATATATATATAGAAATGATGCGCTTACCTACTGTCCCTCAGGCTACTATGAAGTAATTGTGCCCTCAGTTAAATTAAGTACAGTGCATCGTGGACGAGACTCAGGAGGAATTCTGGTGTGGTACAGGGAAGCTCTGGCCAAGCACATTTCTATTAT